AAACTTGGCCTCGTTAAGGATGGCAAATCCAGGGACTGCCATCCATTACAACATAAGAAGATGTCTTTATCTGTATTTACTACAGCAGTTCATCAGGGAGGACCCAGGCTGGATCAATAATCAGCTTCCCTGCCCTAAGCATTCATCTTCATCCCAACTCACACCAACTATTTCGTGGACGGAATCAGCCCAGGTCCCGATAGCACTGATGCAGCATTCAGAGAAGACATTTTCTTCCAACAGCGCGCTTCCATTTGACATCCAATTCCTTCAGCCTTTTGATCTTGTTTTTTGACTACCGTAATATTTAGATCAAAGCCTAAGGTTTGGAGAGCTGAGCAAAGTTCACTAAGAGGAAACCCAAATACCAGGAACTCCATTCTAAGATATATGGAGACAAACATGGCTTCAAACACAAACTGTACAATCTAACAAAAAGATAAAAAAGCAATATACTTAATACTATGTCTAGAACTCCTACATTGCAAAAAGTGTTATCTTGTCAAATTAAATTATCCTAAAATTAGTCAATATATCTAATATTTCCAATTTTGTGATGGTTGTAGGAATAGTATATGATTATCTAACTTATTTCTGAACATGTTTTACTTATTTTAAGTAATTTAAGCAAAAAATCAAATCATCTCACATTTTTTTTTTACATTTTTGCTTGTTTCAAGCATATTTCCGAAAAGAACATTTAACAACATTATCTGCCAATATAGTAACTATAACAAGCACATTTTACTTGTTAAAATTACTTAAAATAAGTTAAAATGTCAAGAAAACCATTAAAAAGAAAGGAAAGTTAAACATTATTTTTTAAAAGCTTACAACACTCACAACATGAGAAATATTCAATATATTGGTTAGATTTAAGATCATTTCACTTGACAAGATATCAGTTTTTGCAGTGTAGAAAGTTGGATGGATATGAACTAAAAGTGGTTGTGGAAGCAATACCTTTCTGTGCACATCTGTTTAATTCTATCTTAAAGGGGAACCAATTTATCAATTTTTCAAAATTTCTGCATAAGTCAAAGAGTAAGACATAAACAAAGTCATTCAGATTGGTTTGATGTAAAAGACTCTATTCTACACAGACTTACAGGGTCAGAATTGTTAGGAACCAGACGTCTGAAGAGTTTAACGCCTCTAAAAGCTATAACTCACTGACGGATACCTGAAACATTATATTATGATTTATAACATAAAAACGCGTGTGGGTTCATTGGGTGTTTTGGATAGTAAATGGCTATATTTGTGTGGACATTACGTTCCCCGGTTCCTATCACCACCACTGTAAGTCTGTAAATTTCTCTACAATGAACCATTTCACAGCAAACCACTCTGAATGACTTCAGTAATTTAATTATGCAGAGATTTTGAAAATTTGTTGGAATTCCCTTTTAAATGAAACAGAATAACATGAGCGCAGCTCTAAATGTGCACTTTAAGAAATACAGCTCCTTGGATGGACAGTCATAGGAAAACCTTTAAAAAGAATGTTTTCAATACTTTAGTGGTTCTCAAAGTGTTAAAAAGTTAAACACACTTGTACCTCTGATTTACAGAAATGGTTCTTTGAAGAACCACCCATTTAAAGGTTCTTCAGGGAACCAACAATGGTTCTTCTATGGCTTCAGTCCGAAGCAGTGTTTCTCTAACCATTCCTCAGGGCCAACCCCACAAAATGGTCCACAAACCTCCCAAACTCCCAACTGGGATAGAGCTAAAAATCTGGACCATCTAGTGGGCACTGAGGAGTACTCGCCCAAAGAGCCCGTCTGGCACCTTTATTTTTAAGAGGGTGGTGAGAAATACTGCTCCCTTTGACTAAACACTTATTTATGCTATGCATAAAAGAGAGATTAAAATAAGCATTTGTCTGGGAGATAAAACAGAACACAAAGCTTGCTTTGTTAATGAGCTCCATCCATTTCATGTTGGTGTCATCAAGCACACGGGTCTCTGTTGCTGCATTAAAAGCGTTATTGGGCGTCTCAGCCCATGGACCTGCTGAATTAGCATCTGCTGCTGCAGCTTGTCAAATTTCCTGTCATGGTGCAGAATCTAATTGGAAGCAGTTCCACACCGGTCCGTCTCTCTGTTGCTTGACAATGGTTAATAATAATTCCATAAAATGTTCCTCTTTCCTCATTAAAGCTCTTGAGATTCACTTGAAATTCACCGCTAGCAGCGAGGCCTAAGCCGGTAATTACTCCAACCTCTTTCCCTCCTTTACACACAGGGCTCTTTGTTTTGGGTTTAATTGAAAAAAAAGGAAGAGGAGGAATGGGGAGAGAATATAGGACGAGCGTAATCCCAAAAGCAATCTAACTCTCGCCAAGCGACTTGGAGTTCTTTATCAATAGTTCCATTAGAAGGGGGCTTATCTCCCAAAATTAGCCGTGAGATAATCGCTTTCAAGCTTCCTGAATTATGCCAGCATTGTTCCCCTGGCCGGCTCTCCAGCCCAGCCTAATAATTTTATTACATGGGCCGATACGATCAATGATCTCGTCCTCTCCGTTTTCACAGAGGAACAAACGCACCCATCAACAGCGGCCCAGGCGAGATATGATCAGGTCAGATCTGGTGGTGACCGCTCTGTGATAACGTACTGCTGGACTCTGAGAGCGGACATGTAATCCCGCATATGGATTTATATGGGCACAACCATTTCAAAAGAGCCGGCCGAGGGTAAGAGATGGGGGGCCTTATGTGTCCTCCATGGCTGTCTCGAGTTTTTACATAAAGCTGTTATGATAAAATTTTAATGGCAGAGTGTGCTGCAGTTTAGCGACTCTATGACCTTCTGAAAACATTTTGTGCGAGGCTGGATTGAGTACGTGGTGTCTGATATGCCACACGGTCGCCTCTCACTGCAGCTCCCCTCGCCTGCTTTCCCTGCAATGCTTGGGCCATTTTAATAGCGTCTCATTTCGCATGACAGAAATGAGCCATTATGCTGATAGGCCTTGATTCTCGAATCATACTACAATGAGGACAAATGCAGCCCCAATCTGTCCACTCCCGTCCCACCATCGTTCTCACCAAGCACCTAGAAATGTAAGCAGTGGGTGAAGGTAGAGTGATGAGAATGGGTGGAGAACAGGAGAGGAAGGGAAAAGGAGAGGGAGGGGCAGGGGCTGATTTGCGGGGATCTGAATTATGATCATTTGGGATCTTTTTTTGCCCCATGGGGCGGCATCTTTCACAAACACTGAGGAGCCATTCAGGGTGGAAAACAGTGCAAAACAATATTTCTGGGAGAGAGAAAACATCTTTAATTTAGTCAATATATCTATGAGATTGGAAAAAAAGATTATTCAACTTATGTGTAGATTTTTAACTTGTTTTAAGTAGTGAAATCTTTACTCCATTGGCAGATAGTTTACCTTCAGGAAATGCTTGTTTCAAAAAATAATGTAATAATAAGGCAAACTAAAATGTCTTAAAACAAGTTAAAAAGTTGTAATAATAAGAAATATTAGCTAAATTGACTAGATGTATGATGCTATCACCATTTCTGGCAGTGTCCCAAGCCTAACTAATGTATGCGAGTACAGTACAAGAAGGAAAGCACACAGTTCGCGTGTCTTATCTCGCCTCATCTTGGATTTCCTTATCAGGCTGCAGCATTATCATAATGGCCATTACCACCAGCGGAGAATTTGCACGCTGGCTGAATCGCTGTTAACATAATCACCACCTTATTGAAAACATATTTCAGCCTATTGATTCGGCCCTAATTGTATCTCTATTGACTGTAAGGATTGTTAGTCCAGTGTAAATGACTCCAGTCAATCTGCTGCTGAACATGGCAGGGACACTGTTGCTGTGCAGTTGGTTCGTTTTGCAGTGTTCCTCCTCAATACATGCTTATATACATATTTGCATACATTATGGGGCGACACACGCCAATCTGCTGACAGAAAGGCAGAAGGGGATTCTGCTCAATGCTCAATGTCTTGGTTGAGGAACAGAGCACTGCCACCCAAATGCTGTTTACACACCAGTATATTGTTTCACCCTAACAGGTAAGGAGTTAATAGGTTACTTTCTATGGCTGAACGTTCTGCCCTCCACTTTATGTCAGTTTGTGAATGTGTTGTGCAATTTATAATATGGGATCAAGGTAAGCAAGTGGTGCATCCACATAAAAAGACAATTTATGTTTTGATAGTGTATAAATATAGGTAATGAAATGTGGCAGGTCTAATGGAAACACTATTGAAGACAAAGAGGAAGCATGAATTTTTGATGTCCAATGTATTCCTCCGTTAATTCATTTTTGGTGGCCTGCCAAGATTAAGCAATAAAGTGCATCTCACCACCAGAGGAGCTGCTCTTGGTCAGTTAAAAAGAGAGAGAGAAAGAGAGAGAGAGAGAGAGAGAGATCAAGTAGATCCAATAAGCCAATGGACAGCCTCGTATTAGCCTTAATTCCTGTAAATAATAGGAAATTAAGTCTCATGGCTCATGATTAGGGTGATGTTAGCCTTCAGCTTCCACACTGTGTATATGTGGAAATGAACAGCATTCATTCTGCAGCCATAAATACAACACAAATGCACACATGCATGTAAATACATATCTGATAACATAAACACAGAAAGAAACACATTTCATGGATATCTTCTTACAGAAAGAGCGTGTGAAAAAATTGCATGCATGCTTATGTTTATATCCATATGAATACTATGATCTCCTCCCTGACAACATAATCCACACTGATCTCAAAATCCAACATACAGTATCGCATCAAATTCAGTACCATTATTCAGCATCTTTCTGGTTGGAATATGCATTAGCTCTTCTCCCTCTCTCTCTCATATTCATAGACACATATAATTCTCCCTGCAAATTCCAGACACCAATCCCAGCAGCCTTGCAACAAAAAAAAAGACAGAAAAAAAAGATAAGAAAGAAAGAAGCATCCTTGCATCCTTCCCCCTTGACGTGCAAATGCAGTATTGAGCGTAAAGTGCTCTTACCAGAAACGTCATGCAGAGAAGTCTAATTTTGGCAGGTCCATTCTGCTGCTGGGGCACTGCTTAGATCCAAATGGGGCCGGAGTGGCAGGGAGGCACTGAAGAGGCCTTTGAAGAAATTCGGGCTGGAAAAAACAATTCCTGAAAGCGAGCTGGTGGCCAGCAGAGCGCTCAGAAGGCAGGAGGAGAGCAGCTGCAGTCCCCAGAATATACGAGACCCTGCCCCAGATGCGGGCAGCCATGTAAACAGGAGTGGAGCAGCTCGCCGTGCCTCAAATACATGCTGTACCCAGCGGAGCGAGCGAGAGAGTGAGGGAAGAAAGATGGAGAGGGAGGGGTCGCTGCTGTGCAAGGTGGAGGGAGGAGCTGTGGCGCATCGAGATCGAGAGATGGAGGGAAGGAGGGAGGAAGAGAGCGAGAGAGAGAGAGTGGGGAGGGGAGCGTGCTCAAGATTGCCAGGCTGAGAGGGGGAAGAGAGAGAGAGTGAGCCAAAGAGAGAGACAGCGAGAGAGAGAGAGAGGCTGCACAATGCTCAAAACAGGGCCAATGTGACTAATGAAATTCAATTCTGCCGTTCGTCAGAGCGACTGCAGTGGAGGAGAGAGAGAGAAGGAGAGAGGGAGAGAGAGGGAGAGAGAGGGAGAGAGAGAGAGAGAGGGAGAGAGAGAGAGATGGCAGTAATGCAGGCATGTCATAACCATGGGGGCAAATGGAGACTTGAATTTACCTCTGTAAAGCCTCGTCTCCCCTCCTCTGTCATTCTGTCAGTATGAGGTGATTAATGCCAGGCTTTTATGCAAAACACAGCACTCGTCAAAAGCATGCTGGAGCCGCGATGTGACAAACGGATGACTCAGGGAGGTAAACAGGCAGGGACGATAAACAACAGCCAGCTGAGAGAGAGACAGAGAGAGAGAGAGAGAGAGAGCTGGAGGGTGAGGTGAGGGGGGTGGTTAAGAAGAAAAAGAGAAGTAGAGAATGACCAGAGAGGAGGAGATCAGAAAAGGAGAGAGAGAGAGAGGGGAAGGGAGAGAATGAGCAGAGAGAGGGAGAGGAAGAGAGGAAGCCAGACAGGAAGGAAAGGGAGAAGAGAGAGAGGGAGAAACATAAGAAAGACAGAGTGAGCAGAAAGAGAGCAAGCAAGGGAGAGAATGGGATAATCCGAGAAGGAGAGAAATGAGTGGGGTGGAAAAAGAGAAGGAGAAAAAGACTAGAGAAAGAGAGGGACGAGCAGAGAGGGAGAAAGAGGGATGATCAGAGAGGAAGCCAGACAGCGAGAAGGAAGGAAAGGGAGAAGAGGGAAAAATATAAGAAAGACAGAATGAGCAGAAAGAGAGCGGGAGAGAGAGAAAGCAGGAGAGAGAACAGGGGATAATTCAAGAATGAGTGGGGAGGAAAAAGAGAAGGAGAAAATGACTAGAGAAAGAGATTGAGGGGCGAGAGAGGGACGATCAGAAAAGGAGAGAGTAGGAAAAGGAGAAAAGAAAGATGAGAGAGATGGACAATCAGAAAGGAAGACAGACAGGGAGAAAGAAGGAAAGAAGAAAAGAGAGGACAGAGTGAGCAGAGAGAGGGAGAGTGAGGGATCATTAGAGAAGCAGAGAATGACCAGAGAAAGAGACTGAAGGGAGAGAGAGAAAAAAAGAGAAAGAGAGAGAGAAGAGAAGGGGGAAAAGAGAGGAGAGAATGACCAGAGTGAAGGTGGGGGGGGTGATCAGAGAGGAAGACAGAAAAAAGAAAAAGAAAGCAAGAAAGAAAGAAAGAAAGAAAGAAAGAAAGAAAGAAAGAAAGGGAAAAACAGACGTAAGGAGAAAAGAGAGAGGGATAGATTGAGCGGAAAGATGGAGAACAAGAGATGATCAGAGTACAGAGAGAGATGTAGGGGTAAGCTGGAAAAAGAAAGGATGAGTGGGATGGTCAGAGAGAGAGAATAAAAAAATGGAAGGAAAGAATGAGCAGAAAGAGAGATAGATGAAAGATAAGGGAGGAAAGAGAGAAACAGAAAGTGAGCAGAGAGAGAAGGATGATCTGAGAAGGAGAGAAGAAATAGAATGTGCGGAGGCAGAGAGGAGAGAGAAAAAAAGGGGAAAGAGCGAAAGATAATGAGTAAAAAAGACAGTCAGAAGACAGAGGGACGAAGGTAGAGAAACAGGGAGAAGGAGAAAGCCAGGAAAGAGAAAAGGAAAGAAAGCAGAGATAGAGGGATGATCAGATAGAAATACGGGGAGAAAGAAGGCAAGGAAGAAAAAACAGAAGGAAAGGGATCAGAAAGGGAGAAGAGGAGAGAGAGAGGGATGATCAGAGAGGGACCGAAGAAAGGGAAAAAGAGAAAAAGCAGAAAGCCAAAAGGTGAGAATAAGCAGAGAGAGAGGGATGGTGAGAAAGTAGGAGGAAAAAATGAGGAAAGAGAGAAAACCCGCCAGAGAAAGAGAGAAAGATGGGGGGGGGGTGATCAGAGATTGCAAGAGAGAAGCAGGGAGGATCAAAGAAGGAGAGAGGCAGAGAGAAGGAGGGAAAGAAAAAATGAAGTGTAGAAAGAGAAGGAGAGAGTGACCAGAGAAAGAGAAAGGGGTGATCAGAGAGAGAGACAGACGGAAAGAAAAAAGGGGGAGGGGAGAAAAAAGAAGGAAAGAATGAGCAGAGAAAGAGAGACACAAGGGATGAAAGAGAGAAGGAGAGAGTGAGCAGAGAGAAAGGGATGTTGAGAGAGAGAGAAGGAGGGAAAGAGGAATCAAGGAGAGAGGCAGGAAGAAAGAGGACGAGGGTAAAAGAGGAAAATAATGAGCAGAAAGATAGTTAAGAGAGTCTGAAAGAGAGAGGGGAGGGATGAAGAGGGGAGACAAGGAAAAGAGATAGACAGAAGGAGGGATGATCAGAGATGGAAAGAGACAGAAGACGGCTAAGGAAAAGGAGAGAATGAGCATAGAGGCTGAGAGAGGGAATGAGGAAGGGGGACAGGCAGGAAGAAAGAGGGCAAGAGGAAAAGAGAGGAAGAGAGAATGAGCAAAAATATAGAGTCAGAGAGAGAGGGAGATGGAGGGAAAGCTAGGAAAGAGAGAATGAGCATAGAGAGAGAGAGAGAGAGAGAGAGAGAGAGAGCGAGAGAGAACGAGGGGTGAGTCTGGGTTACACTGTGTCGGGCTGAGGAATGCTGCTGTGGCCACTGCACCGTGAACTGAAAGGTCAGTCCATGAGGATTCGCCTTGTGGGAAAATAATCAGGTGTAAATCCCTGTAAGTCCCCACACCATTATTCTAAACAATAAGAGAGAAGCAGCGGAGCGCCAGGTTGAAGGATGAGTGAGATTACTGTGGAGGGATAATCGAATGCAGATTGGTGGGGGCAGGAGGGAAAAGGCTGGTGTCGAGTAGGAAGTGTAGGAGCTCCTTAGCAGCAGAGACTAGAGAGAAGCTCTGTGATTTCTCACTGCGGAGAGAGAGAGAGAGAAAGAGGCAGAGCAATGCACGTCGTGTGAGGGATTTATCTCCATACAGTTAAAGCAGATGAAGCCTCGGTGTGGGAGACGAGGGAACGTGTGCGTGTGTGATCCATCTCGAATCTGTCCCAGTCATTTTGTTAACGCTCTAATCTTCCCTTGGAACACCAGCAATACCGGCACAGCAGTGACTTACAGCAAGACCTGACATGTGGTTTATGGTGACAGTCAAGGTTGTTTCTACACATTACGGTGCTGCATTCCATAGTATTAGCATACCTAAGGTAGCGTTTTTAGAGTAATATCCTTCGCGGTATATGCTATCATCCTAACAGCAGGTTTTATTGTGTCAGACTGACACATATCTCCAACGAGAACGCAGCAAAGCATGAAAAATCTCTCCAGATTTCCTCCTGAGCATGCCTTTGGAAGAGCATAACAATCCTTTATAAGCTCATTAACACTTTCTCAGTAGGAGACAAGGAGGGTGTTGGGCTGGGACTTTGGGGCACAGACTAATTCTGGGTTAGTTGAGGATTAATGGAGTATATCACTTATTAATCGTGATTCATTTAAACATTTAGATGAATTGGCGCATACGCAGTTTGTTTAGCAGCCCATAAGGATAACCACCTATTACACAATTTGGCTTGAAATTACTAGTCCTTAGTATCAAATCTCATAAAGACTTCTTATTTGCAAAGCTAATTGCTTGTTTGGTTTCCGTACTTAAAAAGCGATTTTAATGGAATCTGTGTGGGGCTCTGGAAACCTATTCGCCTTCTGAATGATTCCTCAGGGTTCGCGACAGACTGAAGCTCCACAACAACATAACAATGACAACAGTGTAAATATTTAAAGATTTCTGGAATCTGTGGTTTGAGCTGTGCTGGTTGTGTGATGGCAGACCACCTCAAACACACAGCCATACATTAACAGGGTCAAGTGTCTGAAGGACACAGAAAAAAATAAGAATAAATGCCAGAGTTTCAAATATTCATGATGTTCTATCTGGTCTTTGCACCCTTTAATAGTTTATGTACCTAATTTTTTGTCAAACAGTGACATGGCATAAGTAGTTTTGGGTTATAGTTTATAAAGTTCAGTGGCACACTGCGAAAAATTAGTATCTTGTCAAGTAAAATTATCTTAAATGTAGTCAATTAATCTAATATTTCTCCTGTTCAGATTGTAAGCTTATTTTAGGATTATTTACCTCATTTCCAAACATTTTTCACTTGTTTTCAGTGATTTTATTGAGTAAAATTATCTCACTATATTAGCAAAAATTTTTGCCTGTTTTAAGAAACGTGCTTGAAACCAGCAAAATTATCCACCAATATAATGAGATAATTTTTCTTCGTACAATTGCTTAAAACAGGTAGAAACATGTCTAGAAATAAGCTTGATTATCTTGTAATAAGAGCACAACCATCTCAAAATAAGAAATATTAGATTGACTAGAATTAAGATATTTTCACTTGACGATATACTATTTGTTGCAATGCAGGCAAGGGCACGACTGTGATAATTTACAATCAGGCACTTGTCGCAGTGCTTGGGGGCGTTATTCTCAGCTGGAAGGGTAATGATTTAACTACATTTTGTTTTCTCAATAATGTTGGCTTCAACTGCAAATGTTGCCAACAGTAGAGGAGAACTTCCAACTCAAGATAACCACAGGTTAAGCTCAAATAAACAAACATTCCTCAGAGCTACCCATTATCAGCCATTTTACTTTCATAAAATCCATGACATGTCTGAATGAATGTGTTTTCTGATTTTTTTTATTGTTTATACTGGGCCTAGTATGTTCCAGAGCCAGTTTGTCTTGACAAACCCTCTGACAAAAA